CCCCCCCCCCCCCAGTCTCAGGTCAGATGTCCCTGCCTGGTAATGCTTGTCTCACCCTAATCTCCACTCTTATTTCTTCTGCTTCCTCACTACATTCTCTTTCCTTGCTGCCCCTCTCCACCCCATCCCCAATCCCTCCGCTCCCTTCTTGCCTTCCAGCTCCAATCTGATGGGGGTGCTTGTTGCCCACGCTGTGCCACGGAGCAGGGCTGTGCTGCATGGTGGTGCTGGAGTGGAGGTTGCTGTTGTCCATCCTGTGATGAAAAGTGGGAGGAGATGACCAGCCTGCTTATGTCCTAGGTGCCCTGAAGGCAACAGGCTCCCTCTGCACGTCTGGCCCCCAGGCTGTGGGACAACCTGGCCCACACCAGTACCTCCAGGAGTCAGATCCATATTTGGTCCATGCCAAGGATGCTCCACCTCCTCTTCCTCGGAGGAGCAGTCTGGTAGGTGGTCAGTGGCCAGGGTCTGCTCATTTCAGCTCCCATGTTTGCCTAGATTTATCACCTTTGTCTTCAAACTGAGCTGGAGCCTGACATAGTAAACTCTCTTCCCACCACTTCTCCCATGACTCCCTGGCATTGACAGGTCTTTACTAGGTGCTGGGAACGCTATGCTCAGAAATGGCTAGGCCCTCCTAATGCATGCTAGACCTATGGAGATTGCTGTTATTTAGCACTAGCCAAAATCCTCACCAAGTGGTTCAGAGGAAAGATGTGGATGATTTCAGGTTGCTGACAGGTCAGGTGCACTTCTGGACATGCAGGAAGGCACAGAGCCCTCTTATTAGGGGGAGCTTGTTTGGGTTACTTGGTCTTGGGGTTGTGCTTAGCAGCACCCACATCTCCTCAAATAGAGCTGTTGTGAGAGAACTGGGGCCCCAGACAGTACAACTGCAAATGCTGCAGTCCTGGGGAAGAGGGGCAGGTGCCTCTGGAAGGATGTTCCAATGGAGGGAGATCTCTTCTGGATCCCTGTCCCACCTAAATTCCCAGCAAGTGCTCTGCTGCCTCTGTCCTCCCTTTACACAGTAAAGCTCCCTGCTCTTAGCCTTGCTCTTCACGCATCCTTGCCAGGGCCTTTGGGACCAAGACACTGAAGCTATTTTAGTTTGTTTCTGATGAAGCTGATGGCAGAAGGGATTGGGCTTGATGATGCTCTCTCTTCTGCTTGCAGAACAGACTGCTGCTCCGCAGGGTCCGAGCTCTCTATGATTGCAATGCTGACCGGGAAGATGAGCTGACTTTTCGCACAGGCGAGATCATTGTGGTGTCTGAAAAGGAGGACAGCAACTGGTGGGTGAGTGAACCTGCGTATGCTGAATGGCTTTGGGATTTATACCTGATTGTCTCTCCTCCCCCTCCGTCTCTTGCCTGTGTCCCATATGTGTCACACCTATTGTCATCTCCTGCTCTGTCTTCCATCTTCTGTCTTTTCCTTGGCATGAACTCCTGGTTATACCTGGGCAACCTGCTCCCTGTGCAGACACCACATCCCACCGTTTCCCTTCTCTGCAGTCCAGACAGGTGTCGGTATGCTTGCCTCCCACTACTTGTGGCCTGGCCATTCCCCTTGTCCACAGCAGCTTGCTTGCACAACCCATCCAGCCACCTTCTTCAGGGGCATCAGAGACCGCTCACCTATCATCTGTTTTTGGCCATCTCCAAGGGAGGCAGGTCCTCAGCCCTCGCATTCACAGCAGGGGAGCAAGGAAGCTTAAGGACCTTAAAAGCAGATGTCTTATCATCTGCTGCAAGTGACAGCTGAGCTCCAGGTCTTCCTTGGTACCGGGTGGGCTGATATCCCCAAAACAGGACTTCCCTGGGCAGTCACGGCTTCCCCTGCAGGGGAGACTCCCTCCAGACTGATACGATCTGGAGCACTGCTTAGCAAAACGAAAGGCCAGAAGGCCCACACTGTGTTTCAAACTTCTTGCAAACCTGAGTTTTCACTCAGGAATGCTAGTGCAACCCTACTAACCAGGCCCTTTGCTGGCAGCAGCTCAGTTTCCCCAGGGCAAGGAGGAGGGTTAAAAAATGGATGTAAATACACTCTCCCCTACCTCCGTGAAAGATTTAAGCAGCAATCGGTAATTACAATTAGTGGTTTCCGTCATTCAAACAAACACTTGCAAATAGCAATTACAGCCCTTTATCTCCTGCCCTGGATGAGTTGATTTATCTCAGTAAATCAAAATAACTTTGTTTTTGTTGTTTTTCTTCTGAAGATTTCTTCTACCAACCTACTGGGCATTTGTATTCAGTCCTACCAACTGCTACTCTGGCTTACTTCTGGCTGTCATGCTCAAGGGGATCTGCAGTTGCTTTATTTTGCTATGGCTCCATAGGGCAAGAATAACCTCCAAAGACTGAACATACCGCAAACTAGACACCTGCTTGATTCAGTGCATAGAGCACCTCCGATTCTGCCTTTCATCCTGCCCACCTTGTGTCAAAGTTACATGCAGAGCTGCCTTGCCAGGCCCTCATGGCAGAGTAACTGGCTGCAGAGCCGGGGAACTGTGAATATTTTCCTTCGTAGGGCTGTCAGACCCACCTTGATGGGGACTTGACTCATGTGAGGTCAGGTGTTTGCCTGGACGTTGCTGCCCTTAGGCAAGGCTATTTGAGCAACCATACGCAGCTGTTTTAGACCATTTTCACATTCCTTTCAACCCCACTGTGCCATGTTCACTGCTCCTTTTCTTTCCTTTCTCCCCACAGAAAGGGTGGATTGAAGGACAGCCTCATAGGCGAGGTGTCTTCCCAGCTTCCTTCGTTCATGTGCTCAATGAATAGGAACTGCTTCAATTCAGGAAGAAAGATCTGATCAGCTGCTTAAAATGCAACTCTCCCGTATCCTGTCTGCAGAGGGCTCCCTGGGCACAAGCAAGCTGGGAGCACCAGCTCACTCGGACCTGCCTCCCTCGTGTCAGCTGCCCCCAGTGTACCCATCCCCCTGCCAATACCTGGTTCCTGGCATTGGCTCTCTTCTCTCTGGCCTACCCACAGTGCCAGGCTGTCACAAAGGATGCCTCCCTGGCCAGCAGTGCTGATGGGGAGGCCCAACACGCCACATAATGTCAATTTAAATGGTGCGTTAGGCCTTGGATACTTGCCCACCTGTGTGACGCGCATCCTGTGTTAGCAAACTCTGCGTAGCCAACAGGAGAGGATGAAGCAACCGATGTGCTCCGTGGCCGTGTTCCAGGTCTCAGCTCAGCCATCGCCACCACCTGAACCCATCTGCATTCCCAGGCAGGACCCAGCCCTCGTGGGCTCTATTGTCACTCCAGGGCTTCTGTCACCTGCCCTCACATTCAGCTCCAAGGCAAAGAAACCTCCAGTTCTTGCCATATGCTGTCTGTGCTGTGAGTCCTGCAGTGCTTCTCTGCTCTGATGGTACCAATGGTAATGATGGTACAATGGAGCAGAGCTGTGCCACTGCTGTGCAGTCCTGCGAGAACCTCTGAAGTTGCAAGTGGAGCTGCAAACCCCTGAGAAATACTCTTGGGGAACAGCAGCTTCTGCGGAGAACAGAGTGTGTTAGGAGCTGCACTGCTTGGAAATGCAAGTGAGTCCTGTGCAGTTAGCACCACTTAGCGTTTTTAATGTCCTTAATTCCTCCTACCCAGGTTTGACCAATAGTTAGCGCTCCAGAAAATCTGCTCAGTGACAGTTCAGGGAATTGCTCTATCAGTACCTAGACTCGGAGGACTGATGGAGAGGCCCCCTGGGCCATCACTAATAAATAGTGGCTCTTCAGTGCTCTGTGCTTTGCAGGACTATTCTAGTTTGTGTTTCCAGCCTCCCTTCTATTTGCAGCTCTTCTTCAGGCACCAAACCTCCTCTCAGACATTAGAGTGAGGAGCCCAAGAGGCCCAACCTCCCTGCCAGATAAAATTGCTCATAATTTAGCTTGCATGGATGTTCTCCATGGGCTGTAATTTTCCGGTATCTGAATCACACTTCACACACTTCCTCTGTCCACTACTGAGTCAAAATCCAGTCAAAAGGTGCAAAAAAGATGGCTGGGAGTGGCGCTGGGTGGACAAGGCTATCAAGATCCCTGTGTTGCTGGTACTACCCTCATCAGAGGCTAAATTGTCCCACCATGACATTACTGGGGTAGGGGAGGTGCTTCCACACCAGGCAGCTTCTCCCATCTTCAGAGAAACATTTTTTTATTTGAATTTCCTGATTGCAGATCCGGGAACTTCATCTTTTTTTTTTTTTTTGTTGCCTCCATAGGGCTGGACTACCTCCTTTTGCACTCAGTGGCTTTTTGTCTGGGCAGGGGCAGTCCTTGGTGCTGCCGCTCTCAGCTCTGTCACAGACAGATGGGAGGGGGGTGGCAGCTCAGGTTGCACATGACGCAGAGTAGGGGAGGACACAATCTGGAAAGAAGTCGGATGCAATGCAGAGGTGCTCCCTGCCTGCGATCTGGAGCCTGGCTGTGGGTAGGTCTCAGCAATGCACCACAGAGACTATATGTCTGTGCCAGTTCACCCCGGCTGGTCCCACTGGGAGGCAGCTGAAAACTGAAGGTCTAGAGAAGGTTTGGGTCAAAAATTAAAGTTGTGTTTTGGCTACGTTTAATCACACAGGTTTGCTTCCATAGAAAGTCAAGGGCCAAAATGGACAAATCAATGCATTTTGGAGTCAGGCATGCTGACCTTGTCCCATGGGCCTCACTGCAGTGCTTTAGGCCTAGGCTGCTTTTAGCTGCTGGGTGACACCATGGTCACTCTCCACAGAGAAAGGACATGGCATCTCCCAGGGCTGCATAGCCACGGGGCTTCTCTACACTGAGGTCTTGGGGTCAGGGCAAGGCCAATCAAGGGAGACGGTGCCTTCAAGGATGGTCCAGGCTCTCCTCAGGATAGGGTGATATTGGCCAGAGAAAGCTCAGCACCCCAAAACACGAGGCCTGGGGCTTACCCGGTGTTTGGCTGTTCCTCAGCTGTCCACAGCTGGCTGGGCACCACCAGCACTGGGTGCCAGCACCCACTGAGGTCCCAGGATGGCACCTGTCCCAAGCCCCACTCCAGATCCTGCAGACACTGTGTGGGGGGGGAAGCATCCAGCTGTGATGGGGAACGGCCTGCCCTGCCCCTCAGTGCTGAGAGGCCCTGCTGCGTGGGGGAGCCGGGTCAGGCACTAGGCCCAGCCTGGGGCTGGTGGGAAACGCCAGGGGAGGGACATGAAGCCCTGAGCTGACACCACAGAGTGCGTAGAGGCACAGATTTCCTCCTTATCTCGGGGCAGTACTTCCACTTCTTGCGGAGGCGGTTGCAAGTTTTGTGTAGTGATTAGTGCACAGATGCTGGCGAGGCTGCTGAGCCCTGCCCACCAGGCCTGGGCGGCATCTCTATCGCCCGTCCCTGCTCTGCGGCGCTTCCTCGGAAAGGTGAGGGCCAGAGGGCAGGCTCTGGGGTAGGCCAGCACCCTTGGGGCCCATTTCCTGGCTGAGGGAGCCTGGGGAGCTCCCGGCAGTGTCCCTTGGGGCAGCTGCGTGGAGCAGGGCCAGAGCTCCAGTCTCGGACTGCTGGCTGCATCCCCCAGGGCCACATAGCTGCAAAGGGTGGCTCAAGGACTGCAGCACACGACCACCCACGGTGCTTCGGACCCGAGGGCACCTCTGGGTGCATGGTTTGGGCAGGTGCTTCAGCCACTATGAGGATGTGAGTGGCTCCTCCTTCAGTGGCATGGATTCAGCGGGCATGGGTGGCAGGGGTCCTCCTCCTGCACCCACTAGCCATGAGTTGGGGCTGGGGCCGGGGCTGGGCTGCCATCTTAGTGGAGCCTGCAGAGAGCAGAGGGTGAGCCAGGTGTCTGCCTCAGTGCCCCATCCCGCTCTGGGGGCTGTGTCAGTCTAGGGCCACAAGCAGGACACAGGGTAGTTTGTTTACTTCCTATGGCTGGTCCATGCCCCTCCAGAGCCCCTCCAGAACCCTGCTGTGAGCAGCCACCTCTCCCTGGTGACAGGCAGCCGGAAAAAGCTTCATGAAATATTCACTGTGCTGCCCTAGTCCCCTGGCTCTTGGCTTTATGGAGCTCCCGGTGCTGGTTGTGCAGCCACCAGCTGGCTCTTCCCCCTCTCCCTGGGCTGTGGCTTTAATAGCCTCAGAGGTTCTGAAGTGCCTGAAATAGCCTTCTCCCCTTGCCCAGGGGATCTGTGGCTCCTTGCCTGGCAGGCACGACAGACGCATGCTCTTTGCCTCCATTACAGCAAAAGCTTGCAGTTGCTGTTGAAGGGTAAAAGACTGCATGACAGGGATCTGTGGCCACTAGCAAGAAAAATATTGTGAAGCTTCTGGGTTCTGCTTTATACCTTTGCGTCCATGACTGGGTGGGGGTTAAGAACTGGCCTGCCAGCAAAGCTCTTCCTGTGTGTGTGAGCACAGATCTGCCCACAATTGCATTTCCGCTGTGCTGTTCCCTTCGACAAGAAGCGATGTTATTTCAGTTAGTTTTGAAAGGGCGGGTTTGCAGAGGCCATGTAACCTGCTGCAGCTGGCTAGCACCGGTCAAACTGCTCCTGTCTGCTTTTGCTGACTCTGCTCTTTGCTCCAGCACCGTCTCCGCTTGGACCCTGAGGAGTGGCAGTTTTGGTGTTAGAGTATGCATCTTCTGGGTCAGTTTTGAGGCCAGCTGGTTGGATACTACAGCGAGCAGGTATGTCAGTGCTGCAGAAGGCACAGAAAATGTTTCATGTAGAGAAATGAACCTAAGGCTTATCTGTGGGGCCCGGCATCTGGCCTGCTTTGGCCTCATGCTTCGAGGTGGGTTCAGCTTTGTCCCCAGTTTTACATGGGTCTTGAGAGGAAAGGAGGAGATGAAGGCTGTGGGAAAGACCAAGAGCTCCTATGAAGGCCAGAATGTATTTTCTATCCTTCAGCTTTTCAAATGCAGAGATGAGGCCCAAGGCTGCCGTGGCAGTGAGCTGTCAACTGCTTCTGAACCCAAGGTGGAGGCTGTCCTGCACGGTTCTGCCTTTCGGTCTCTCCTTGGCCCTCTGGAGCCGGGTCCTGTTTCATGGTTCACCTGCAAAAGACAGGCTGAGCACTTTCTAAAGTCTCTGAGACCAAGACAACCCTTTTCCCTCTGACTTCAGCTTTTTATGTGTGTGTGTTTGGGACCGGACGGAAGGCAGGAAGGGCAGTCTTTCACTCTCAAATGCAGATATTTAAGAAAAATGGATGTACCTGCATACACGCACAGAGCTATTGCCCCCCCTCTTGGTTCCTCACCCTGGCAATGATTCATTGTCCTTTAAACTGCAAAACTTCAGGGCTGGTGAGGCGTGCATGGGCCATCGGATGCTGTGGAGCCTGTGAGGCACTCCAGCTGCTGTGGCAGTGGGTAGACAGCTTGGCTTCTGCGCTCAAATGGCACTATGCAATCCTAGGGCGCACGGAGAGGTGGCAGCGTAGTGTGTCATCTGGCAGAGAGAGTGGGGTGGACATCAGACTGGTTTGCTGTTTTGTGGCTGCTGTTCCAGCAAGAAGCTGCAGTTTGGCTCCAGGCTGAAGCAAAGAAACTTAACCACTGGTTTGTAAACTTTTTTGTTTTTTGATTTGCAGCGCCTAAAAGTTTTGCAGCCAGAGAGTGGCTCCTTGTACAGCAGATATTAGCAACTGGCCATACCCTGCCCTAAGCAACTTTGACACTGTCAGATGTAGACCAGGGACTCCCAGGGGCCTACGGACCCTGAATAGCCCAGTGGGGCTGTCTTTGCTGTGTTTTCCATATTGCACCAGCTGCAGAGCATGTCTGGGGTGCGCAGCAAGGACACCCTGCTGCAGGGATTCCTGCAAAAGCCAGCCTCAGAAATGACTCCAGGGATCTGTTTTGGTTTTCCTGCTGTTTTAATGACCAGAACAATAAAGCCATTGAATGATTTTAAAAGGAAAACCTTACTAGGATATTTGAGTTACTTGCCAGTCAGGAGAGCAGTGGGGGCATAGGACTGTGTTGCTGTTTTTTAATTTTTTTGTTAGTGTTTATTTGAGGGCAGAAGGGTGCAACAGGAGCCCAGTGCTGTCACAGACCCATATCCTAGCTGAGTTGCAGGAGTCCCGGCAGGGATGGAGGGAAAGGGGAAGGGTCCTGCCTGCAGTGCCACTGCTACGGTCGCCTGAAATGTCTTGCCACAGGTGGTATGAGGGATGTTGTGCCGGAAGCGTGCTCGGGTGGTCGTGGCCTTGTGCCTCCTGCTCTTTCTATGGCAGTATTTCCGAGCCCCCACGGCTGGCATTGGCCACTTCTTCTGGTCTCCATCTCTCCTTGACGTCCGCCTGCAGCCCCACTGCACTGTCAGCGTCAACAGCTCAGCCTGGTTTAACACCCGCTACGACGCAGCCGTGGGGCCCCTGCTGACGGTGCGAGCCCAGAACCTCTCCTCCGATGTTATTCACTGGTGGCTGGTGAGTTGGGGCATTGTTGAGTGCTTGGGGCTCTTCCCCGCCTCCCAAAATCTGTTTGCAGCATGACAGGCCCAGGCCCAGGTCCAGGCCCAGGGCCAAGGTGAAGTTGGAAGCTCCTATGTGTGGAGAAGAAGAGGGGGAAGGGAGCCCCCTCTCCCCCAGGCAGGGTCTG